ACTGTGACATTCTAGACATTCCACTGTCCTACTTTAGACATTCCAATGTGCTACTTGCTAAAGTACTAGACATTCCAATGTGCTACTTGCTAGAGTCCTAGACATTCCCAAATTGTGTTGTTGCTTTCTTGCGTCTATGTTTGTTGCTGTGTTGCTTTTTGTTTTTTGTTTGCAAACGTGCTTCAAGTTGATCTCGGGTTAGGTTGGTCGGTGGAGTTTCTGGCACGCTGCCCTGCAACGCTAGGCAGCATTCTTTCCCACGATGCACTTAGTCGGTTACAAGTTCTCACGCGCATGTGTCGCACATACACAATGTTCACACACTGTGTAATCAAGGTTTGAGGGATTGGTTTGAGGGATTACACGAAAACGTGCTCAAGCTGACCTTTGGTAGTCAGTTTAAAACTGTTGGAGCCTATATAAGGCGGTATGTGTACAGGTGTTGGCCAATGTCACAGCTGCTGAATTTGTGAAACAAGGCCAGCATTGGCCAGCACTGTTGGTGAGCCTTCAAAGCGTTAGATATCACCTAACCAGATAACTCCTGATTACACCACACAGCGTGTGGGTCCACATGGCCTGTACATGCTGGAGTTTATCGAGTGCCCTTTGCACGATTGTTGGCTCTTGCACCATGTCTTCGTGCGGCACGAGGGACAGCCGCTGAGTCGCTCCCCTTGCCAAACACAACAGCTGCCCACCCTCTGTGGAGAGCTGTATTCTGCCCTGATATCCTATTAGCGGGCAAAGGAAGACAGCCAGGAAATAGGTGAGGAGGAAAACATACATCAAATTGTGAGGTATATACTTCCTGTCTATGATAACTTGAACTGAAGCTGGGTGTATATAAGTAGAATCCAATGTGTATATAGTAGTATAGGGAAAGGTATCTGGGGCAAGCCTGAGAACAAGCCTAAAGTAGTCAATTCAGCTCTCCACTGATAAGCTGAGAGTATGACACAGTGGAACCAGAGAACAGGTGACAGTTTGGGGATATGGGCTTGTCCCCTGTAGAGAGGTTGTCCCTGTCTCCTCATTTTCTTAGAGTTGGTTAAACTACAGCAGATGTCCCTTGAATGAAACTGCCTACTGTTTAGTGCAGCAGGAGAATGTACTAAAGAACATGGTGGTGGGTGCATCTTGTAGAAGCATCCTGTGATGTGGTCATCTGTGTGCGGTCATCTGTGTGTGGTCATCTGTGTGTACACTGGCATCAAAGGTTGTGGACACATGTACAAGCCTAGCCCTCTCTGATATCACCTTCCCTGCTTTTGATCAATGTATGTGTCACTACTAAAATGGGGGCGGTATGTCCCAATTACTGAAACAACTGGAAGGAAGCTTGTGGTGGCTATGTGGAGGACTGAAGTTTGCTCTGTAGTCTGCATGCACCAGTGGTTGTGAGTAGAATAGCTCCGGGCCAGACATTGTACACATTGTGGTCATGGAGCATGGCAGGTACCATAATATGTAGTTGTATTATTCTGAAACAATGACTGAAGCCTCCCACTATCTATACTGTGATGATATCCTAGGACGATAGCTGGATTCCCAAGGTCTGGGAAAGCCACCAGATGGTGTGGAGGAATGAAAATTCAGATATAGTATATACACTTGAGGAGCTGTGGCTTTGGGAGAGAAAAGCTTTGGAATAGATCTCTAGCAGTACTGTACATGTAGTATGTACAATTTCAGGCGTATGTTGTAGTAATGTAAGTGTTTAAGCGCTGACATGGACAGGTTGTATTATAGGTGCTGTGTTTGTGTAGAAGGTGATGTACACAGTATAGTGTTTAGTGTCAACAATACTCATTCGGTGAAGCCCACCTTGTCTTTGTCAAATCCTCCTTTTTCTTTTCATCTTCTCCCCATTCCATCCCTGCTGTTCTTTGCCTTGGCTCAGAAGAAAATGCCCATAAATCTTTGATACGGTGTTTGCCAAATGTGGAAGTGACTCACCCCATATCGGGAGGGTGTGGACATTCCAGTGTGTGACACCCGCCAGTGTACACCCACAGCAGCCAATATTCTGACGATAATATTTTCGTGCCTGCCTCGATTTGTGTGCTTGCCAAGCAACGATTGGTTGTGTTTGTTTGTAGCAAGAAAAACGCGTATAGTTTCCTGTTTGCTCACGACCGTGTTGGCATGAGGAGGTCTCACGTCTCCAGGCACGGCCTCTTGGTAACTACTCTCTTGCCAAGGCACTCATTAGCTCCACTACTGGATGTAGTGGTCAGGTATTTTTGTGCCCCCCCTAAAGTCCAGTTCAGAAATAACATGGTACACCGAGCTTTTCTAAGTTTTTGTGTAAGAAAAGGTTTTGGGTGAGTGTTTTTGTAACTCCTGTGGTATATACATAATTATGTGGCCATTCACTTAAATATTCCCTTTTACCTCCACTTTCCCCACTTCTCTCTCTCCTCCCTCCCTCCCTCCCTCCCTCCCAACCATTCTCACCCAGACACCCTCTCCTGCAACTGTGAAGGTCCCTATAATTGCAACCAGGCTAACAATTCCTGTGTGGCTAGAAGAGGTGGTGACACACCTGAAATTGCCTGCTTGATCTACAAGGAGTTTCGTGACACTGGAGTGACTGCTGAAGTGTCTCTCTGTTTGGCTGTGGACAAAACGTATTACCTCATCAACTGTGCCCCAGAGAGCCAGGTTAGCGGGACCACGTTCTACACCACACCCAAATGATATCCCCGGCCTCCCTCCGTTCTTAACTGTTTGCACACCGCCGCCGTCACTTACACACGACAGATGCGCCCGTGCTGGCAGCTGTCGCTTATAAGTCATATACGTACCTGTTAGAGCCAAGGCACTGCCGCTCTACAGTCTCTCTGAGCTACATATTATAGTCGAGTATCTTTTCTACAAACCTAGCACTAAAGTGGCTAACAGTGCACTTTCTACACTTTGAACTTCCATGTTTAGAAATGCCGCTGAAACCTGCTACGCCGGAAACGGCATGCGCGCATGACTATTAACGCATGTAACCCAGTTAAGGACTTTGTTATAGTAACGTACAAGGTTCTTAGTTCTGCAGTGGATTCATTCGTGTCTGTGCGGTGTGTGTGTTTCACAGGTTAGACCTGAAACGCGAGGAGGCATTCCGTGGAAGACTGTGGTGACCTACTGTTGTACCTCTGACTACTGCAACACCAAAGAGGCCCTGCAGGAAGTAATTGACGGGTTGGACCCCTCTGTTTTACCTCCAAATTGTTAGTTCATCTCATACCATGGTGATTGTAATTTAATGAGCCATTGAAAAAGGAATGCACTGATTCTATTGCCAGGCATGCCGAAGTAGTGATTTTGGCCACGTGGTTCACTCTCAGTATAATTATTATGTTATTATTGATTTGGGCAATCATCAAGTGGCAGAGCTCCCTTCATGTAACCTACGTGTTGTACACCTGTCTGAATATGGTTGAGGTCATTGGGGTATCGGCAGAGTTCCGTTACCGACATTTTCAGCCAGCCTACAGTATGCCAGCTGGGGGGGTGGACATGGGAACTAAATCGTGGGATGGGATTTGTGGCATATCGGGCTCTCTTTTATTCTACACACTCATTTACATACATGCAGTTGTAACTTCCGAGACCACTCCTGACGGTGTCACCACCGCAGTTTCAGCCCCTCCCTCCTCCTCCTCCTCCTCCTCCTCCTCCTCCCCATCCGAGCAGCCCGCGACCTCCGCGACCTCTTCCTCCTCCTCCTCCTCCTCGTCCTCGGACACTCCGGTCTACGCCATTGTCGTCTTTGCAGTCCTCTCCCTGACCGTAGTGGTCATAGTCGCGGTCATTGTCATCATCCTCACACTCCACTTCCTCCCGCAGCGGTTCAGCCACTCTGTGAAGGGCTCTGGATCCAGCATCGTGTCGGTGTCCTTCCCCGTGGACTCCAGCTCGTACAGTGACCCCAGTCTCAACGAGCTGCTCGAGGACTCTGGGAGTGGGTCGGGGCTCCCGTTGCTCATCCAGCGCTCAATCTCGGGCCAGATCAGGCTACACAACCTCATCGGGAAGGGTCGCTTTGGAGAGGTGTGGCGCGGGATGTACAAGGGCGACCAAGTGGCGGTGAAGATCTTTCACACCAGGGAGGAGTTGTCGTGGTTCCACGAAGTCGAGGTCTATCAAACCTGTCTCCTGCGCCACCCAAACGTACTCCGTTTCATCGCCGCAGACAACCGTGACGTGGGACTCCAGATGCAGCTCTGGCTCATTAGCGACTACTGCGAGCTGGGGTCTCTCTTTGACCTCCTCTCTCGCGAGACCTTCTCCCAGGCCACTGCGTTCAAACTCTGCCACACGGCCGCGGGCGGGATCGATCACCTCCACACCGAGATTGTCGGCGCCCAGTGTAAGCCGGCAATCGCTCACCGGGACCTGAAGAGTCGGAACATCCTGGTGAAGAGCGACTACTCGTGCTGCATTGCTGATCTCGGACTCTCGCTCACCTACGAACAGGCGACTGGGGTGGTCAAGACACCGCCGCGGACGACTGTTGGGACGAGGCGCTACCTGGCACCGGAAGTCCTCACGGAGAGCATCACCATCAAGAACTTTGAGAGCTTCAAGAGATCAGACATCTACTCGTTTGGTCTGGTCATGTGGGAGATTGGCCGTCGAGCCGAGTGCAATGGTAAGACTCATGTGTACTGTGTACGTATGTGTGTATGTTGTAACAGTATTGGGACCTGCGTACAGTATATACCCAAATACTATAATCTCAATTTCCTTTGTGTCTAGAAATGGATAAGCAGATTCACTTTTCTATGAATTGTCTTAGAGCCATAGTGTTTGACTGGGTTACAGACCCCATTACGCACCTATAGCCCACTGTATAGCCCACTGTATAGCCCACTGTATAGCCCACTGTAACCATGCAGAGGGCACCAGTGATCCTGAACAGCTGGTTAGAGAGAGACCTCATTGAGCTATGCTCTGTATGGGATATGGTAGTGGGTGAGCCAGTGTGCCTTGTAGTCTGGCTGGGAATTACAGCTCCAATTTCTTTTACACGTTCTTTGAAGGCCTTTGCCATCCCTGTGTTGCCCCTACTGGTGTACCCTGTGACTCCAGTGAGTCTGAGGAGTTGTCTTGGAAGTGGATGTCGGTGGTATAACCTCTCTCACCTCACTTGTAGCTCTGACTGTGGCTGGTAACTAGATGCCTTGTCTTGTAAGGGTAGCTCTCTTTGCAGGCCAAGGAGCGTAGTTTCGTCGAGTGTTGATTTTGTATTGGTCTTCGTAGGCTATTACGTAATTAATTGCCGGCTGTCTTTGGCAACACTGCAGTGGGTGAATGGAACATCTATTCCTCAATTTGTTTTGCACTTGTGTGGCGCTCTGCTTATGTCACTGCCTGTCACTGCTCACGCTACTCCATGGCTCAGCTGGCTGGCCATGGAACAGAGTTAGCTCCCTTGTGGTTGCCTTTCTGTGCTCGAAAGGCGCCTATAGGAGATCACTCTCAAATCAAAGGAAAGCAGCACACTGCCACCATAAAAGTAATCGACTAACAATGCATGTATTGTCCCCAGCCTTTGTTTGCATACGTGAACTTTGGCACAGCTTTTGCTGCCCTGCTGAGTACAATGAAAAACACTAAAGTTCCAGCCCTCGGTAAACTGCGCGTGCAGTTGATGGGCTGGGCTATTAGTATGCGTTACACGTGGTCTCCCTCTAATAGCTCTGACACTGGCTAGCTACAGGTAGTAGATAGCATGCTGGAGTTGATACACGCCCTTTGTTGAGACTTCTTTTGTCTCCTACGAACACAGAGCAAGCGGACCCAGTCGAGGTAACCCGGTGTTTATTTGCATAATGGCTTGTTTGCTTGCATTTCACGCCATAACTTCCAAACTCAGTAGTTATACGAAACTTTTTAAATGAAGCCAGTTTAGTGATGAACCCGTTGGTATCGCTGTTTTGTTGTATCGTTGCGCGTAGTAGCAGAAAACGTGGTAAAAGACAGACAGACAGACTGACGGACACTCTGGCAGCCTCTTCTTACCTGTGCTACGTAGTATATAGCATCCACACAGAGTAGAGAGAACCAACTACCGTAGCCCCCTCTGCACATGTGCACCGAGGGTTAATAAAGTTTGCGGGGTTCTATTCATGCTTGCCTGTGGGACCATGCTAAATGCCATATGCTAACATTGTAGAACCCAAAAATTGGAGTCTAATGTGTTGTAGAGAAATGTTTGTCCCTCTGCCTATGCTTCACGGCTGCATGTATGCTTTAGAAGTAGGCCTGATTGTCTGTCGGTGACAAGACACATAGAATTTACCCTCCGCTCCCACTAATACGCACTTCGTAAAATGACCAAATTTTGGTTCTTACCACAACGGTACAGTGTCTCATCATCAGAACTTTTCTTTTTCACTCGAGGTTTTGCTAACTGTCTCTCTCTCCCGCCTCTCTCTCCCTCTTCCCCTTCTATCTCTCCTTCTCTCGTTCCTCTAGGTCATGCTGAAGAGGCTCAGTTGCCGTACTTTGACCTCATCCCCAGTGACCCAACCCTGGAGGAGGTCCAGAGAGTGGTGGTGGAGGAAGGACGGAGACCCTCTCTCCCAAACCCATGGAACCAACATGAGGTAAGTATATATGCACTTCACCATTAGCTGTCTTACTAGCAATGACTACAGTAAGTAGTAGATTGGGAGCGAGTTTTTTGCTTGTGCACAAGAGAGCAAAATTGGGGATTTGTGTAAGCCCAGAAAATCGTCCTCAATTTAAAAACTGCATGATCTTCGGTCTTGGTGTAGATAATTGTAGTTTGTATTTTCCACAAGGAGATTTCTGCTCTAAAATTGAATCTATTTTATCTTGGAAAACGACGCTACACTCGCTATACGATCATAAAGTACACATGTATGTATCACCTGTATGTTAGAATAGGTACGGCCTTGCCTGGGGCTCATGTCATTGAGGTCGCGATTGTGAACCCTGCACCCTGGATGGGTGTTTGTGTAGCTTTACTTAAACCATAGGATTTTCTCTTTGTTGGGTATTGTAGGCTGTTGAAGTACCTCCCAGTTTTTGTTGTGGTTTTAGCAGGCAGTGTAAATCTATTTTGGGGGGGACGTGTGTTGGTTTAATACTTGAGGGTTGGGTGTGTCAGGGAATTGGGTTTTGTAGGTTGGAACTGTGTGTACAACCTGTATACTAATATAATTAGGCGGTATTTGAGTGGTGGTCTTAGCAATTACAAACTGCGCTACAGGATGAGCCTAGGCCCCTCTGACTCACTATAATATAGGCATTCCCTTGCTACACTGGTTGCTGAATGCAGGTGTTACCGTACCTGTTGTGACTCAGTCTACTAGTCATTAATTTTGAGTCATTGCCTAGGTGGACAACTGGATACATTTAGCACTGTATTGGGTTATTAGGACTCTCATTCAGGACCTAGAGTGTAGCAGTCATGGTGTCTAGGACTGTCATTCACGACCTACGTACATAGAGGTGTACTAGCTGCCTTTCCGAGGAAGATGGCTATTGTAGCAATGTAGTCCTTACCGACACATACAGGTGGGACAGTTCTCGCTTCTTTGAGTGATTACCCAGAGTACTACTCTAGGAACCACTCCTTATTTAGTGTGTAGTGTGTTCCCTTTGAGTCAGTGTGTGTGTGTGACTCGGTCAAGGAGTATATACTGTTTGTTCTGGCAGCTCAAAGAGAAACCATGTGCAGTCTTTATACGGCCTGGCCATCCTCTCCTATAAATATTCTATATACTGTAATTGTACATTGACATTACTGGTCTGTGTTTGCTTATTCGGCAACTACACTGTGGTGGTCCTTTTAGACGTACCTGTCTGGGTACTGGCTAGTCTCGTTCCTGGCCCTAAAAGTGTGTGGAGCCTTATCCCTCCGTCCCCCCTGCCTTCTTTTGACTTGTGTCTTTAGATGTAAGAAAATCATTGGCTAGCAAAGCAAGCTCACCTTGTGATCGGAATTGGCGTAATCGCACAGTCACCCCTTTCCCATTATGTATGCCTGTATACATCTGTGAAGTGGTGTAGGTCATAGGTGACTATAGTGAGTGACACCATTAATCTGACTTTCGTATACATATATTATATACACTTAGGAGCATTACTCAGTGGGAGGTGAAATACGTACTGCCCTATGTATGTATGTAGGTCTCCTTGTATTAATTGGTCCAGCTGTCTGTACCTGTGTTCCCACTGTGAGGCTCACAGTACTGAATGAGTTCTTAATCTTTGTGGTGTACATGGACGTAATATAGTAGCAGTGCATGGGAGATTCGTTTACAGTTGTTGTGTAGTCTGGGTAATGGAAGCCGTATGCCTGGTGGTGGGTTGCATCAAGTTGTGTTGGCTAAGTATTGTGTACGTAATTCCACAGACCACTTTGTATGTAAAACGGGTGTATTACACAAGCACACACGTTGGAGAGTTGAGGAGACGGGGAAAGAGGGGTCTGATGACCTCAGACTGTACTTTGAGGCTTGGCTGAGCACTCTGTATATAGCCACTCCTGGGTGGTTATTGTGGGACCTTTCCCAACAGTGACTCCTCGTTTTAGGGAACCCTTTTGCCGGGAAAACCTACATACGTGTAACTATACTAGATTGTAGCATTTTTCTATGCACGAGTTACTATTTTAGGACCATGCAAATTGGGATGTGCAAAATGTTGGTGCATGAACTAAAAATCATGCCCTCAGTGCGCATGCCCTGTGAGGGTAGTACTTGGTCTGTGTGTGTGTGTCAGCGTTTATTTTGGCACCATAATAATAGAGGCTACAAGACGGCTTGTTAACCCTCAGCGCGCATGCGCAGCGAGGGTTACAGTACTTGTTATAGAAGTGATACCAACAGCTTCAGAGCCACCAGTGCGTGAAAAATAAAAAGGTGATTTTCGTTACACAACTGTTCAGGAGGCGAATGACAACTGAGGGCGTTTATTGAGTCCTGCATGCTATCTTACGTACTAGAGTCTGAGTCACTCTTCGCGAGCTACTAGCGGGAGACCACGCCACGAGCAAACACATAATATACTACAGCCAGTGGTACCGTGTGTGTGAGTGCACCAGGGTTTGCGCTGGTCCTTTTCATTACACAGACGGTCTAAATTTACATCAAGACACCCTCTCTCCCTTCTCCGTCCCCCAGGTGATGGTAGGGTTATCCAGGATCATCCAGCAGTGCTGGCTACACGAGGCCCAAGCCAGGCTCACGTCTCTCCGCATCAAGAAAAGCCTTGCAAACCTGCGAGAACTCCTCCGAGACACAAAGGAACCTGGCCAGCCCTGATCAACCCCTTCCCTGCAGTAGTGTATATATAATCAAAAACAGCCAGCACCACCCCTCCCTAGCTGTCCATCCCTGTCTTTATATTATTTGTTTCTTTATACAGAGAAGAATTATGCATGTATGAACGTAAATACAAGTGTTTCAGATTTTTGTTATTGAGATGTGTCTGTGTTTAAAACGGTCTTTGTTCTTTCTTCTTTCAAAAATGTATTATCATCAGTGTATAACTGTATTGTGTAAGAGTAACGAAGTCGACTACCAATTCATTCCCGCCTACTGAAATCCCAACTATCATGAATAAAAGTTGGAGTATATATGGAGTGGAAATGTCTTCTATCTCATGTACGTGGCTCCCCTATAACCAACGCAGCATCATGCGCATGCGTGTATAAGTATGGGCTAAGGGCGGGGCCCAGCCGCTCGTTTCCGGCTCCGCGATCCGAGGTCCAAGTTCATTGGGAACCCGAGAAACCAGTGGGTGTGACTTCAGGCTAGCTCTGGGATCGTTTCTCTCTCGGTAGATCCAACGGTCCCTTCGTGGGAAGATCGAGTAGTTCAGAGGGAGATGCTATGAAACAAGCCACTGGTATGTCGCATGCTACACTGTAAATCACCTACGACTATACGTACATTGAATGAACCATACTTGGAGCATAAGTATATACCCCGTTTAGATATATGATTAGAGGGGCCTTGGATCACTTCATGATGGGAATAAAAGCTGTCAAGTTAAAACTGACATGAAACTATAAACCCACAGCTGTCAGTAGCACCATGCAGGGTTATGGGTACTATTATATTGAATAAAGTAAGTTTGCAATCACACAAGTTCCCGTGATGTGATCACATGTAAAAGCACCTTCCACCTCTCTTCTCTATCAGCCTGTATAGTACATCACATGCCAATATAGCACACTGTGCTCGGCTCCTAGGACTTGACTGATCAATACCTCCCACTAGTACTAAAGACAGGCTCCATATACACCAGGAACTCTTACTATAAGGCTACATAATTTGTATACCTTGTGTACATTGCACATAAGTTGCAGTGCTGTACTACGTAACCAGTACAGTAATCCCTAGAGACATTACTGCTCAAGCTACCAGTCAATGATTTTGCATTGCTGTAGGAAATATGTAGTTCAGTGCACCTTGTGAGTGAACAAGATCCCAGTGTGTTTGAGTATCTAGACCTCAAACAGTGTTCATTGGCTCTCGAGACCCCTTCCTGTGTTCAATAAACTCCGTAGTATTCGAGCACGAACGGTGATTTAACATGGTTTGTAGCGCAAGACAAGCCCTATTTTAATAGCTCCCACAATAGTCTTTGAAGACCTCACACCATGAAGGAGCTCCCAGTAAGTTTGGTAGCTCCCAGGGCAGTCGGAAAGCCTGCTCGGAAATTCCCAACCGTGGCAAACATCCGTAATACATACATCACTTACCCTACTACTGTATCAGTGCCTTTGTGTATTGTACTACAGGTGGGTCACTACCGAGTCAGGTGATGGTGAGAGGCATGTAATAGAAGAGATAACCCTCTAATTAGCAGGAGGATATCAGAGTAGCCATGTGGCATAATGCACCTTGGTTTTGGTATAGAAAATTGAATATCGGGGGGAGGCTAATTATCTACATAATAACTATATATACTGTATATACTCCCTTATGACTCTACATAATATAATCAGGACTATATGGGGTGATTGACAGGAGGGGACATTTCCACCTCTACCACCTTTTTTAATTGTGGCTTTCACACACGCTCCACGTGTGCTAGATTCCACACACATTTGTGCATTCCATCGTTTGCCAAATGCCAAATGTCTGTGGATTCCATTTGCCACTATACACAATATATAGACAGTACAATCTCAAGTAAAGCTCAAACAACTGCATAACGAACCACACCTTCCTGTAATATAAATAATTGGTGTTAGTAATGAAGTATACTTGCCACCAATATGTTTGCCAAAATGTCTGTGGATTCCATACACAATTATATAGACAGTACAATCTCAAGTACATGTATAGTTCAAACAACTGCATAACGAACCACACCTTCCTGTAGTATAAATAATTGGTGTTAGTAATGAAGTATACTTGCCACCAATCTGTTATGGTGACAGCTGCACAAGTACGTAGAGTGTGCTGCAACTGTACCAAAAGGACTAAAATCGCAAGCTCAACTAAACGTTCGTTAACTTGCATAATGAACCACACCTTCCTGTAATAGGAATAATAGATGTTGGTAATGCAGTATTTGTTATGCTGACAGCTGCACCAGTATGGAGAGTGTGCCGCAACTGGCTTTGGCACAAGAATGCTTCCCTTCTTGCGTTGTTGTCGGTATTGCTGGTTGAATAGCACAGTGCATGGAGTATTATTAATGACGGTATTGTATGAGAAGTTTAGCAGCCAGAATTATTGTGAGTGGCCAAGAATTAGAATGCCGTAATCAAGCCAGAAATCCCTTCACTGCTTTTTCCAGTAATGCACCGTAAGCTTTAAGCTTTAAGATGCGACGATCACACTTGTTTACCTGAGACTTTTAGGTAAACAGTGTATATATGCCCGTAAACAATATTGATACCCATGTGCAGTAATTAGGTTAAGGTACAAGTGAAGCAATGTTTTTCCATAGTTAGCTATGTAACAACCGAGATTGACGTCTCTCCGCCAAAATGTGCGGGGCAGCTCTTCTTTCTTTCTTTCTTTGAAAAGAAAGAGCTGTCCTGGGTGTAGTTGACTTGTTTGCCTTGCCTTCCCTTTCTACCTCGTTACCAAGTTGTCGAGACATGCTTGACAACGCATACAGCACGCGGTTTAATGCCAAGAACTACATGTAAATCTACAGTGTATATAGTAGTTATATATTCACCTGTGCGTGTGCGTATGGGTCAATGCCTACACGTGCATGTGTCTCCTCCGAGGGTTTGCACTTTAGCTCTTTGGTATTTGGCAGCAGTGGGGAATGGGGAAGTATCCAATTTCGTTCATAACTGGTTACAGGAAATAGTCATTAAGGCGAAAGATTTCCTAAGTAACCACTACCCCCCTTTCATGGGATGGCGAGCAAAATGTGAGAGCGTACGTGTGTGAGATGGAGGAATTTTTTGTCATTTTGGAGTTATGTCATGTGCAACAATACCCACATCAGATATTAAAGCGAATGGCCTGTATATTTTTAGTTTAGGAATGTTACTAATATAACGGAACTCAATTACACCCTTATAATTATACTGCCACAGAGTTCGCTAGCCATAAAAGACTCTTTTAACCCACCACCCCAGTTCTCAAGGCTGGGCACCAGTGTCCTGCTCTCATGTCATGTCATGTGTATTTGTGTATGTGTGTTTTGTATGGATATTTTGGGGTTTTTAAATATGGTTGTGGTGGTTTTCATTTATATAAGTATGCTATGCACTATAATTTTCATGGCAAAGTGACGTATTCCGACAGCTAAGTAGGCTTCCTTCGCTTGCCAATTACTGAGCTTCAGAGTCTCCCACTTTGGTAGGAGATTGTCTAATCTCTGCACAGTGTAGATAGCAATGTCACAGGGCACTATAATAACAGGGAATCGTTCAGGCTAGTCCTTCATTGTTGTAGTATTGCGAGTCAGTGGATCATATTCGGCAGTCTCATGTTTGTCTGATGACATGGTGTACTTCAAATTGTGGGTGTGAGTCGTTATTAACCCTCGGCGCGCATGTGCAGCGAGGGTTGTTTACAGCCAGGGTGACAGTAGTTGGTTTGTCTGTGTGTCTGTCTGTCTGTCTCTCGGCGCTTATTCTCGCACTACAGGCTACGAGGCGGCCTATTAGCGATACCACCGTCTTCAGAACTACGCTAACCTCAATAATAAAAGGACAAATTTCCTGAAACGACTGCATTCGAGAGATATGCCGTGAAAACAAGCGAAAAAGCCCATATGCATAATGGAACTTGGCTTACCGCGACCTGATCCTCTCGTTCTGTGTATCTTGGAGCCTCAATTCTTGGAGCGCATTCTATCTACTTGTGTAGCTAGCCTGTGTCAGACTCTCTGCGAGCTACAGCGTGGATACCACGAGTAAACGTACTCTTGGTCCAACCCATCAATTAGTGGTACTGCACGTGCACAGTTCACCGAGGGCTTACACTTTAGTGCTTTTCATTACATCATGGCTAAACCTGTACATATATTTTTATATTTTCTACTGCTTATGTATAGTGGCTGTCATTGTGATTGTTTGTCATTCGGTTTGGACACTAGGTGTGTGGGGAGAGTTGGCATGCCATAAAAGGCTCTTTAACCCACCGCCCCAGTTCTCAAGGCTGGGCACCTGGTGTCCTACCGTGTTATGTGCAACTGTGTTGTTTGTGTCTGTGTATGGGTGGAGGATGGGGAGTGGAGGGTGACTTCTGGTTTTCTTTCTTTCTTTTTCTATTCTCTGTGGCTAGTATGCTATAAATATACTTTTCATGTCATCCTAATTATGTCATACCCATTCCCATTATGTGGATAATTATGGTCGTAAGTTTAGCTGGGCATTCTACACATACAGTATTTGTCACAGGTCTTCTCAATACAAGCTGTCTGTAATCTCAGGCAGTTTCTGCATGTCCTGTGCCATGTTCTGGCACGTCTGCTATGTACATGTACATGGAACAGGACATGCAGTACAATAATTATGTCAAACTAACAGCGTAGAATGCAATTTTACAGTGTGTACGGATGTGGGCACAACTTCTAATCAATGCACACTTTTCCGACCTCTTGAATAAAGCATTAAAACAAGGTGTAAAAATCTGAAAAATCTTTTTTCTTGTTCCTTGGCATGGTAGCATTACACCGTTTTAAACTGTGGTGAGTGACAGACACCCTCATATTCTCTTCAAACAGGCCACAAACATAGCACGGGCGGAATTTGGTGGTCATTGCATCCAGCATAATGTGTAGCTTACATATTTTATTGGCGCCCATAATATTTGGTACTTTTGCTTCAAACATAATACTGGTGGAACAAAAAGTTAGTGGTCATTGCACGTAGCAAGTTTTGCAAGTACCAAACTCAGGTTTACATACTGTGTACTCCATTCTACTGTACAGTAATTGATGCAATGCATACCGGTATGTCTTGTTGAAAAGTGGTGAAGTACGATAAGCACATAGTATCCGGCAGTTGTGATGATGATATTATGTTGGTCTTGACTCGGCTAAAAACCCACTGGAGTTGTATATATACATTCCAACAGTCCTCTTTTTCTTACAGGAGGTGATTGAGAGAATCGAGAGAGAGAGAGAGAGAGGGTGAGGAATGGGTGACTGTTTGTCGAGTGATAATCACCAGCACTCTCCCTATGCCAGACTCCAAGAAGGTACATGTAAGTCACTTTGTCTCACATGCACAGTTTACTTACAGATACCCTTTATGTTTTCGAGGGAAAACATGCATGATATAAGTATATAGGAGTATCATGAAAATCTTTTGCAAACGACCTTTGTGCTAAATAATGGTGCCTGGCCTCAAACAACCAGCCTACACAATTGGCATTTAACCCTTTGGTTGCCATGGGCATCTCCTTGAATAAGATGTATAACATGTATTATAGCCATATATAAATCATTATTGACTTATGGAGACTCTGGGCATATAATGCCCGTGGCTTGCTAAGAGTTAAACCTAGAACTTCTTGAAATGTATTCCCTGTCGCATGCAATAGAAAAGTGAAATGTGCGATCTGAGTTAGTAACACCTTGTTGAGTAGTTTCCCTCTTGCTGTTTCTCCCCTGCCAGGTAACCAGTACCACTCAATGGGAAACAGGAATGGACGGCACCTCCTCTCCTCTTCCCTAACTCCCTCCAGCAGCGGCTCATCATCAGCCGATGAACAACACCCTCCTCCCCTCTCGTCCCACGAGCAGGCCTCCAACAAAGAGAGAGAGCTCCAGAAGCAACTGGACACAGCCCGCAGGGAGCTAGAAGAGGAGAGACAGCGACTGTGGTCGTGCGAGGCTCAGATGCAGCTGACTCTGGCCGACGTGGAACGGGAGGTCGGAGAGTACAAACACCAACTAGACATGGTGGCACTCTCGCTGGGGAACGAGTACCGCGACTGGGAGAGGGTGCGCGGGAGGTTGGAGTCGCAGGTGGAGCGGGAGAGACTAAATGTGCGAGCGAGGGATGTGCAGATCCACGAGCTGAAGCTCTCCAAGGAGCAAGAGACAGCGGCTCTCTCCTGCCAGCTCTCGACACTCAGACACCAGCTAGAGAGTGAGAACAGACAACCGAGGGAGCAACGTGCAAAGAGAGACGTCGTAGTGTCTACTCAGCCTACCCAATAGCACCACTAATCGATAATGTTCAGATCACTTGCTATTTTTTCACACGTCTCTCACTGTCTGGAAATTTTTTACACCATCTCTTAATTATTTATATCAGCCAAAAAGTGCTTATTACAGTGACATTCTGTTTCAATGACTTGTCTTGTAGAAGAAACACAGTCGGAGGGCAATCCCCCAGGAGATATAATATAGAGGCAGGTCGATCGGACCATGCAGGGGTCAAAACCTACAGTCAATGTCATGATATGCAGCAAAACTCGGGTTTTCCACCGAATGCTGCAACGCGCGCAAGTGTAAGTGTAAGCCGTGGCGCGCGTCAAAATGCGCATGCGCATTGATCTTTAACACCCGCCCGGCCGGGTGGCGATATTGTGTTCCTGCCTCGTGACTCCGACAGCGTGGCTTTCCTGACCAGGACAGCTGATCGAGGTAAAGAACGTGCGTGGGTTCTCAATAAACGTGTAAAACCTACTTATTTTCTCTTAGAATATGAGCAGAAGACTGTTGATTCCCGTCTGGTCCTACATGGACAACCTAATGCCTATGCTTCTATCCCAGGCAGGCAACAAAATGCCTAACATTGAATTTCGACAATTGAAAAACCCTGACTATAACCGTGGGGCGTTTTTTTGTTGTTTTTTGTGTGTTTTTGGTGGTTTGTTGTGTTGTTTTTTTGTTGTGGTTTTTTGTTGTGGTGTTTTTGTTTTTTTTTTTTTTTTTTGGTTTTTGTTTTGTTTTTTTTTTTCCCGGCCCCTTGTTCCTTTTTGTTTTTCCTTGTCTCTCCTGCTCTTCCCTTTCGCTGTCCGTCTCATATCGTTCTCCTTGTTAGCCTTGTCTTCTAGTCGCTCATTTTTGTTTGGGCATACTAATATGCCCTTATTGTACATGTGGTTTGTTTTGTTTTTGGGTGTTTTTTTTTTGTGTTTTGTTTGGGGTGTTGTGTTTTTGTTTGGGTTGGGGTTTTTTTTTTTTGTTTTTGTTTTTTTTTTTTGGTGGGGGTTTTTGTTGTTTTTTGTTTTGGGTGGTTTGTTTGTTTTTTTTTTTTTGTTTGTTTTTTTTGTTGTTTTTTGTTTTTTTTTTTTTGTGTTGGGTTTTTGTTTTTTTTTTGGTTTTGTTTTTGGTTTTGTTGTTTTTTGTTTTGTTGGGGTTTGGGTTTGGTTGTTTGGTTGGGTTTTTTTTTTTTTGGGTTGTTTTTTTTTGTTGTGTGTTGTGTTGTGTGTTTTGGGTGGTTTTTTTTGGGGTGTTTGTTTGTTGTTGTTTTTGGTTTTGTTTTTTTGTTGTTTGTTTTGTTTGTGTTTGGGGTTTTTTTGTTGGTTTTGTGTTTTTGGGTTGGTTTTGTTTTTTGGGTTTTGTGGGGGTTTTGGGTTGGTTTTTGTTGTTGTTTGTTTTTTGTTTTGGTTTTGGTTTTTTTGTTGGTTGGTTTTTTTTTTGTTTTTTTTTTGTTTTTTTGTTTTTGTGGTGGGGTGTGGTGTGGGGTGGTTGTGGGTTGGGTGGGGGTGTGGGTGGGTTTGTGTTTGTTGTGTTTTGTTGTTTGTTTTGTTTGTGTTTGGTTTTTTGTGGTTTTTTTTGTTTTGATTTCGATTTCTTTGAGAAGTACGTGCCTGCTTATAAAATTTGTGTTGGTTGGTGTGTGTTTTTTGTTGTTTTGGTTTTGTTTTTACGGTTGGCGTTTTGCCATGTTACAACCTTGGCAGAGGAGGAGAGAACTATTTTGGAGAATGCGGAGGTTATTCTTGCTGATGCATGGGTCGTGGCTCATAACATGGAGTGCATAAAGAAGGCCAAATGGGTTCAGTCCACCTTTGCAGGGGTGGATGATATAGTGTCGCAGTGTGATTCTCCTCCACACTTTCTTCTTACTCGTCAGGGAGGGACCAGCTTTGGGCAGCAGATGGGGGAGTATGTCTTGATGCAAATTCTAGCCCGGGAGAGAAATCTCTTTGCCATGCAGTCTGAAATAGAGCAGAGGAAGTGGTTATGGAAGAGCAGTGCACCTCGTACTCTGCCGTCCCTGTCCGTCGGCATACTCGGCGTTGGAAACATTGGAAAGAGAATTGCCGAGATGTGCAAATCGATGAAGATGCAGGTATGGGGCCTCGTGCGCACAGGTAGTCAGGATTTGGGCTTTTTAGACCACAACTGCCAACTACCCCAGCTCCCTCAGTTGCTAGAATCGTGCGATTATGTTTGCAACATTTTACCGAGCACCAGGCAGACAAAGGACTTACTAGACGGCGATATGCTCAAACACTGTTCCGAACGCAAATCCGTGTTCATCAACATAGGTCGTGGTGATGTAATAAGCGAGGAGAGTATAATTCGGGCACTAAAGGAGGGCTGGCTTGGTGGGGCTGTACTGGATGTGTTTCAGACGGAGCCCCTCCCCCGGGATTCTGCTCTATGGAGCACTCCCGGAGTTACTATCACACCGCACATGTCAGGGCTGTGTAGTGCCGGTGACACAGCCTCGCTCTTCCTGGACAACCTCCAGCGATATCTCTCCGGACAGCCACTGCAACACGTGGTCGACTTCTCCCGTGGTTACTGACATCTGGCTTGTTCTAATTCAGACTGACTATTAATATTTATGCAGCCTTGTGTATGGAATCAAGTTTTGCTACATTGGAAGATGGAATACACTGTCCCAATGCATTTGCCTTTTCTACTTGCATGAAATGGCTGCTCACAGTAACTTTCTAGCACCTCTCTGTCATTCTCTCAGGTTTTTTGGGAAAAGGTGAAAAATGGAAACAGAAATTTGCTGGAGCCACTGTTTCTGGTTCAGTAGAGGATTTTGAGAATGTGGGATGTGGCTGCTCATTGTTGCTCCAGTATATACCCTCTCGCGGCTGCGCATAGGCTGTGTTATATAGCGGAATATCTTACAGATTTTCAAGAATCTGATGAAGATATCTAACATCTGTCTTGTTACAAACTGATGTCATAATGGGTGTCAGTTTGAGTTAATATATATAATGTTTGCATATCTGCTTGGGCTAACATGAGCTTTAAGCCTTTTTAGTGGTGTCACTTATCTGTACATCTGAGCATGTGTGCTCTTCATCTATGCTTATAGGGTCAAAGGTTAGCGCAGATAACTTACCAGAAGACTACAAATTGCGTAACTAAACAACATTCACTCAATTCTGTCGTACATTTTCCCAGCTTTATGCACAAGTCACAACCAAACCACAATCATCACAGGGCACTGTCTCTTTGGAACTCTACAATGTTTGAACTTTGCCAATACACTATTGCAGTGTAAAGGGCTGACTTTTGACTATAGCAGGAGAGTCATGTATATACAGGCTATATAGTAGGTAGCAAGTCAGTATTATTACATTTACAATACACATGTACTGTATGTGCATTTTTTTGGTGGTGACATAATAATGATGTAACGAACTCTCTTCCCTCTTTCCTTGTTTCTTATACTCTTACCTCTGATCTCGTCTCCCAATTTCATTTATTCCTCCTTTTGTCTCTCTCTTCCTCTTTTGTATTCATTTAGGACACAGCTAGTCCCAGTTAGAGGTAACCTTCAACCCTACAGAAAACACACTATCGTTTGTACTACGGCATCTAGCAGATATCTTATCATTAGTACTGTACGATAGTCACTAAAAACCACTATGAGTATTGATAGCTAGAAGGAAACACTATGGTGCATCAGCATAGTACTCTGCAGTTCAATACTTACAACCACTTTTTCTTTATTAACATGAATAGCTACACCTGAGTAGCTACAGGTGCACACACAAAAACACACAACCAAACCTACACATTATTGCACACGTCTTATATACGATGTATGTAATTTGTGAAGCAAATGCCTATACAGCAACACTGTTACAGAGCATTTGCTAGGTCAAGGTCTAGTAGACTAAAGGAATCTCATAAGCACACACACAGTAAGATTTAGTGTATTCATGTCCTTATCTTGTTCAACTGTCAAACAGATCGCTAAACTCTAACTATAATTATAGTCCAGTTCTTGATTCCACTACAGTGTGGGTAGGTCAGGAACGTAGATTTGTATGCTGGCTTTGAAAGCCATAAACGTGAAGAATTCGTCTGGGGTCGAAGTCCCCTCCGGGACAAGCTTTCCACAAATTAGGCGACGATTGTTAGTCTCGGGTGAGGGAGATACGGGGGCCAGGTAGACCCTCTCTTGTGCAGAGGCTCCGTTCCTCATCTCAAAGAAGGCATATCGCAGGGTCTGGCTGTTGTACTCATAGTACATGGCTGATGGGCTGGGAGTAACCTGTGGTAGGAAGTTAGCAAAAACTACCATGTATTGTAATACTGAGGGTAAATAAAAGTTGCTATCGAAATGCCTTTAAAACACAGGACAACTCATACTTTACATGAGCACTTCGACTAACATAATTTGTTGTGATAAACTGTAATTCTTTGGTTTTATAACACTGTTTGACCTCGTGATAAAAAAGAAACTGCATTTCTTCCAAAGTGTTTTTTCCCCCTACTAAAGTGTATGGAGGACTGCATGCATTGGTTTGATACCGCAGGAAATCTGCTGTGCTGGGACCCAGAATGAGGCTCCACCTAAATTCTAAATAAGGAGACTGTTTATAGGACACCTTGCTTCCTTTACCAGACCACCCTCGGGATTAATAGCCCACTGCTTTGGTCAATTGAGCTACCTGCATACCTTAAATGTCACGGGGTACATGTCACCGGTGGGATGAGATGCAATAGACAGCTGAGCAGCCGGGAGGACGTAGCTGGTAAACATGTAGTAGTCATGGTTGAATGTATTGAACTGAGCCGATAGTGGAGACTCTGCTTGCTTCTGCACTGCTTGTTGTGATGAGGGATGGTAGAGGACCAACACAGCTAGAAAAACACAAGCTCAAACAGTATTAGAGTTACAAGTATAAACAGTATAATTATAACAAAGTGCTAAGTAAACACTTGTTCATAAATAAAATGCAGTGATGTAAGCCAGAAATGCCATCCTGTGGGTGGTCACGCTTCATAGTCACACATTGAAGTATGAATAGTTTTTCCTCAATGCTAGACCATACAAATTAATAGCTGACAGCTAGCTATCTGAGGTTCACTTCTTTCCAGAATTATATGGCTGCTTAGTTGATACATTTCTGAGGAAATTGCACAGTATACTAGCTACCATACGGAATACTATGAACCTCATGACGGAGAATAGATTGCATAGCTAGCTACTCCAGGCCCACAACATTTGTGAAGAAAACTCTCATGATGGGCCCTTACTAAACCACAAAACTTCACGAATATAGTGTCCCCTAAAACTTTCCTGCAGAATTGGTAATTATCTACAGCTAAAAAGTCTCTTACTCGAGAGGTTCATGTGTTCTGGTAGTTGACCGCCAACGACTCCAATGGGTGGGTCATAGAGCCACTGCAGAGTACTGGTGTCAACGTAGCAGTCTTGGAGGAGACCTGGGTCAGGCTGGTCCGGTGGAGTCAGCATGAAATACACAGGCTCGTCGTTTTGAGCTGCTTGTCTCAACTGCGAAAAGGAAATTGATGTTGACTTGGAGGCCCAGAGTAGGGGTGTATATATATATATATAGCTAGGTAGTGAATAGAAAAATCCACATACAGTGTACATACGTTGATAGGAAGAATTGAGCAGAAGGCACAGTGCAATGCAGAATGAACACAAGCCATGAGGCCTGCACAAAATAATGAGGACAAAACTAAGACTTGTAGTGAATGTCATTTTTTTACAGATGGATAAAATCAGCTAATACCATGCAGGAAAAGCCAGGTCTATGGATTCCACTTCACTTTTAGGTGGCCTTTGGTTTGATGGTTCATTTAACAGACACTCAGGCGATGTTCAGAAGAAACATACATTCCAGAAGAACGACTCACGTCTCCGGGAGTGTAGGAGCGACGGTAGTTCCAGCGATATTGATCCTTGAGGTGTTTGGTCTGACCCGCCGACAGGGTGACCGTCACATTCGGTTGGGAGTCGCCGCCATCTCCCGTTTCGGCGTCTCCTGAAGAAGACGACGGAGAATTGTCATCTCCGTTGGAAGAGGATGGAGTGGAACTGCTGGAGTCGGAATATGTCGATCGTACGGCTGCAGAGCGGCCCCCGAACGGGAGCGCGAGTCTACGGCGAAGTGCGTGGGAGCCGCACTGTTGTTGCGCGGTGAAGATCGTTTTGCAGCGAACGTTTCTTCCTACAAGCCGAGTGACCGAGCTTAGACGAGAGAACATGTTGATGCGCCGGTAAAACTGTGTCGGTGGTGGGGCGCATGCGCATATGTACTCCCTGTTCTCGTGATGCTCCGTTATCCTCAAGCAGGACTTTGAATTCTTACTTGTGCCTGTCAGTAGTCACCAATCAACTAAGAACATCTGGGATGTCACCCGCACTACATCTTGGTGGAAGATATGGGAGCATGCACTCGACAGAGGTGCCAGGAGGACAAAATTTCAAACACTCTTCAAAGCCATGATGCTCTGGTCTTCGGTACAATAATATGATCTTATGTAGCCTACCCCAGTGAGATGTTGGAACTGGCAAAAGAGGGCATCAAAACTCGTCCAAATATTGTTCAGTATTCTAGTTGTTTCACTCTGTACCATTTTCTGGTATGTGCACACTCTCTGGTCTATCATGCCTCCCTTGCCTCCTCTGCATCCATTGACGGCACTTTATGATAAGTATAATTATAGAAGAATAAAGAGACACATATACAAACTGGGTGATCATGAGGTCGACTATCCTGCATCGAACCTCCTCGAACCTTCATGACTTATGATAACAGTGTCCTCCTTGTATAAATTGATCCATCAGTGGAGTGTATGTGCTGCGTCATAAAAAAAGTGTGAGTTTCTTGAACGCCGGTCTTTGGCTATTAATTTTATACACTATTTCTGGGGTGTTTGAAACGTCCATTTTCCTATGTGGCTTAACAGGATCCTTTGTCTATGTTCACTGAAGATTTTCAGGTAATATGTACAAAATTTGAGGTTTCTTTGACTGTGTGTTGGTGCTGGTGAGATGGAAGTAATGTTGAATACGTCGTCTTTGACCAATTCCGAGACTCATTCCTCATCGGAGAGATGGTCTTGAATTTCACCGACTTGATGACAGACAAGGGTGAGTATGTAAGTGGTGTGCTCATTAATACAAGATGTGTGAGGCTATGTATACAAGTGGCAAAATCGCATTTCTTCAAAATGAAGTGGGATATAGGGATGGCTGGAAGCACCAAAAAGGAAGAAACAAGGGGTCATTACACAGCAGGGGTATATACACAATTAGCTACATGACACCATCTGTACATGAGGAAGCCATTTCACTATTTCTTTGCTCGATTTCGTCGTCACTGGGGTATACAGACTACCATTATGGATGCCTTTGTCACATTCTTCTTCCTCTCCACCACTAAACTGTTGAGTGTGTCCTTTGCACTTTTATTGGGCACAAAAAATCTACAAGTCTGTTGGAAAATTGTACTCACATAGCTTGTTCTATGATCCAAGTATCAAATACTTTGGCAAGGTACACCTGCCGTCTGCATTAATGGCTAATGCGATTCTTGTATTCTTTATTGCTTTCCCAACATCTCTGCTCCTTTTTTTACCATTTCAAGATGTATCGAAAATGCTTAGCTAGGTTTCAAATAAGAGGCACTACATTGGACAGGTTTGTAGACACCTTCAGAAAAACTATAAAGATGGCAGCAATGATACATGGGATTGCAGGTGGTGTGCTGGTTTTTTTATTCTTATGAAATCCACAGCATACATTATTTACTCTCTAGCTCCTACGCCAATGTTTTTCCTCTTTGCCACAATTTTGTTTACCATCGGAGCAGCTGTGGTTGTGATAGTTGAACCTTACAAGAATTACAATATTGTCACTGCAAACCTCCTTTTGTGGCAGGCCCTTCTTTCTGCTTCGTTTTCATATGAGTACTTTGCTGACATTTGTCAAACAGAACTGAATTACCAATTCACCATGACATCTCTTTTGTGTCTTTTTCTTATTGGGTACGTAACTGGAGTTGTAGTGCTGTATGTAGTCAAGAGATTTAGAAAGTTAGCAGATGGACTACAAGTTCACTGCCACACCGTCTGTTACATCCTGACCAGTATTGAGAGGGGTTTATAAGAATCTTTGTATTCTGCACATATCATTCTTTTATCACATGTCTCAACAACTTGGAAGCAAGGTAGAAAGGCAAGGCAAGGCAAACAAGTCAACTACACCCAGGACAGCTCATTTCAAAGAAAAGAAGAAGAGTTGCCCTGGGTGGGATTCGAACCCATGACACTCTGCAGTCAAGGCAAGCACTCTACCAACTGAGCTGCCGGGTGCAACTCAGCTGGCAGGGGTTTGAATCTACAACACAACACAACACAACACAAAGGCACACCTCAAACCACTGTGCTATGGTAGAGTACACTCTCACTCAGTATGTAGGAAACTCTCAAGTTTTTATATATTTTTTACTATGAACATGTTATGTACTGTTTTGCAAAACTAATGACGTAACTTGACATAATGTTTGAACTGCACTGGCAGGAACTAAACAAAGCTTTCAGTATTAAAAAACAGGCTAGAGATGCAGTTTGCACAATTTACTTTGTAGTTAGTCGTTTTCTAGCATCTAGCAACATAGTTGTGGTACAACAGTGGATAAATGAGGCAGCTGTGTACACTGTGTGTCACTGTTT